AGGAATTGTTTAGGTAAAATTACAAATACTATAAGGCAGATTTAAAATAAACATAGGAACTATAATAATACCAGAATACTATTATAATGTGATAATATAATATTCTGATATTCATAAAAAGCATACATTGCTCCATAGATTTTCATACCTCAAACTGTGTAAATAATAATAATAATAATAATAATAATAATAATAATAATAATAATAATTTTATTTCTATACCGCCCTTCTCCCGAAGGACTCAGGGCGGTGTACAGCCTATTAAAAGCACAAAGGCAAACAACAATTAAAATAATTTAAAATAATTTAATAATTTTAATTTTTTAAAATTTAAAACATCCAATTTAAAATCATTACATTGATAGCCCGGCCTGGCGGAACAGCAGGGTCTTAAGGGCACAGCGAAATACCCTGAGGTCACAGATCTTACACATTTCCGGGGGAAGTTCATTCCACAGGGCTGGGGCTCCCGCAGAGAACTTTCCCCTGGGTGTCGCCAGCCGACATAACTTGGCCAATGGCACCCTGAGGAGACCCTCTCTGTGGGAGCAAACTGGCCGGTGGGAGGCTATTGGTGGCAGAAGTCGGTCTCGAAGGTACCCGGGTCCTATGCCATGGAGCGCTTTAAAGGTGGTAACCAACACCTTGAATCACACCCAGAAGACCACTGGAAGCCAGTGCAGCTCACTCAAGAAGGGTGTCACGTGGGCACAACGGGTTGCACCCATAACCACCCGCTGCATTCTGGACCAGTTGGAGCCTCCGAGTGCTCTTCAAGGGGAGCCCCATGTAGAGAGCATTACAATAGTCCAGCCGGGAGGTGACAAGGGCATGAGTGACCGTGCGCAAGGCGTCCCGGTCCAGAAAAGGCTGCAACTGGTTAATCAGGGGAACCTGATAAAAAGCCCCCCTGGCCACGGCCGTCATATGCTCTTCAAAAGACAGCCATGCATCCAGCAGGACATCCAGATTGCGACCCCTCTCTGTGGGGGGCAGCGATTCACCCCCAATAGTCAGCGATGGCACCAGCTGACTATATCGGGATGCCGGAAGCCACAGCACTCGGTCTTGGAAGGGTTGAGTCTGAGCCTATTTCTCCCCATCCAGACCCGCACGGCCTCCAGGCAGCGAGACATCACATCAAGGCATCGTTGGGGTGGTCTGGGGTGGAGATGTACAGCTGAGTGTCATCAGCGTACTGATGGACTCTCACCCCAAAACCACGGATGATCTTACCCAGCGGCTTCAAATAAATGTTGAACAGAAGGGGCGAGAGGACCGACCCCTGCAGCACTCCCCATGCGAGACGCCTCAAAGTCGACCTCTGCCCCCCTGCCAACACAAACTGCGAGCGGTCGGAGAGGAGAGGAAGGAGGAGAACCACCGCAGTATGGTGCCCCCTATTCCTAAACCCCTCAACCGCTGCAGCATGATACCATGGTCGATGGTATCAAAAGCCGCTGAGAGATCTAATAGGACCAGGACAGAGGAGCAACCCCTGTCCCGAGCCCTCCAGAGATCATCCACCAACGCGACCAATGCCGTTTCTGTGCTGTACTCCTGCCTGAAGCCCGACTGGTACGGGTCCAGATAGTTAGCTTCATCCAGGTGCTGGGGAAGCTGTCGTGCCACCACGCTCTGAACAACCTTCGCCACTTATCGCCAAATAAGAGGTTAGATTTTAAAAGCAATGATACAAAATATTATTACAGTCTTTTTCTTTCGAGAGCACTTTTTTTCTGATTTAAACAAGTTTTACATTACTAGAATGAATGTTTAAAAACCTTGGGGTATTTTGAATGTCATATATTTTGCTTTACTATAATATCCTAAGCTTCTGGGTACCTGAGCAATTAGGGTGATTAATTGCTTGTTTGCAATAAAAACAAAAGAGTAGGAGTGTTCCCTTACAGGTTAAATATCTGGAGAAAACTATATTTGCTGCTAGACATAACAGATGCAGTCAACCCAGCATGCAGTTTAGTCCTGCTTCAATGGATGCTTTCTAATTTGGTTTGGAACTCAAGCTTTCTAAAAGAAGCCAACTTGTTTAAAAAATAAACTTGGAAGGTTCATGCAGAAAGAGAAGTATCACATACTGATATGTGAAATCACTGTTATCAAAGAAAGAAACAGTGTTTTCCTCCCTTCATCATTTTATTCTTCAAGGCATGAGCTACTTCAGAAGGCAATACACTCACAATGTAGCTTCATAATACAGAACTAGGGATTTAAAATGCAAGATCAATCCAGTAAATGGCAATTCTACGGAAGCTTTTTGCCAAGTTCGGAATCAGCTTTCTGGGAGTTAAAGATTATTTCCCCCTTATTCTGCACATGCAAGCAAAGCTTGCTTCTTCTTTTCTGTAGAGCATTGCTGTATGAATTGTGTGCCATGTAAATATGGTTGTGGTTATAAGAAAAAGCTTGAGTTGCAGTAATGCCTGAAGACCTTTACAGTTTAAATACAGGAGGAAAGATAGCTATGCTGTTGCAAAGCTTTTCCTGATAGTATCCTCTTAGATTTTTTTTCTTTTGCTAGAACTAGAAAACCCATACTTTTACATTAATTTTTGTCCTGGGGAATTGTACTGCTATAAAAAAATGAGGTACCTCAAAAAAATGAGGTATATTTCATAATCCACTAAATATTTACTGTTACTTTACTATTTAGTTACTTCAGCTATCATTTAGAGTTTACGATTTACACAGTGGCGGATTAAGGCTCACTGCTGCCCTAAGCACTGACGAATCTTGGTGCCCCCTTTCTTTGTACATACTATACAAATCTTCATTGGGGTTTTTTTCTTTCTCAACGTTGTGGTGCCCCCTTTGGGCCTGATGCTCTAAGCACGGGCTTAGTCTGCTTAATGGTTAATACACCACTGGACTTACAAAGCTCTCTCTCATGGATAACTCAGTGCAAATCTAGGTCAGGGAAAATCTCAGACAGAATTGATCTACCCTAAGAAAAGTGATTTTCTACTTGCTAAAAAAAACAATGCTTCATAAAGACCAATCACATCTTCATTGTGGAACACTGAATAGAGCCTAAAATAAACAAAATGCCAGATTTAAATGAGAATGTTACTCCATATTCTTTTCAGTTGCTCTCCTAAACTTGAGTATTCAATTTTGCCTCTGAAACTAGAAATTCATGTAGAAAGTGTTTTTAAAAAAATCCTGAGTACAGGTAGTCTTTGTTTAGCAACCACAATTGAGACCAGCAACTCAGTCATTAAACGAAGCAATTGCTAAATGAAACACCTCAATTTTATCATTTTACTTCGACTTTCCTCAGCTTTCCAGACCTGTGAAAGTCATAAAGGCAAGTACTGGTTTGCAAAGTTACTTTTTCATCACCACTGTAACTGTGAATAGTTGCTAAACAAGGCAGCCACTAAACTACCTCTATGTTTATTGGCTCTAATAGCAGTCAAATATATTTTACTCTCTACTTACAAATGTTAAGCTGGCTCTCCAAACTGGACACAACAATAGTAATTAAAGTCAGTCTGAGACTAATATTTTTGCTCTTGTGCAAAAACATTTACTATAGATTCCAACAAAATGATATTTTCCATTTGGTAGCTTTCTTTATTGAGCGAATATTTAGAAACAGAGACTTTCCCACTTAGTGTTTTACAATACAGTGTAGCTTTATTTATTTTTAGGATCATTCCTCAATGGTATTGATTTTTACTAGTACTCAGCTGAAATTCTTTATTACTGGAAAAAATATCAATTTCTCCTCAGCTAAATGTCAGCTACTGTGGAGTGGGCTGCATAAAAACTACTGTAACTTTCTAATATTGACTGGTGTAGCTCTCTAATATTGACTGTCCATTACACTGTCAATGATGTAACAACCTTGTTCACATTTATTTGATTTTGATTAGAAACAGACAGTAGGATTGCACCATTGGGAGTTTATTTGGAAGTATTCCTATGCAAGTTTACTTGGAAGTATTCCTATTGAATTCAATCATCTTACCTCTAAGATTTGAAAAGCCTCAGGAAGTTGAAGGCAGTCTGGAAAATATACTAATGCTATGCTCATTTATTTCACTGTCACTTCTGATAAATTTTGCAGGCATTTGAAACAACTAAAATATAATGGGAACTATTCACAGTGACAATATATTACCACATGTATCCAAAGTACAGTAGTATTGCTGTCATGTCCTGCTTGAGGGCTTCCTACAGAAAAACTGACTAGACTTTCAGTCTATTGGAACACATTTTATGCTCTTACATGGAAAGCATATCAAACGTACTGTGTGTCTTTTTTAATTTAAGGTATAACTTTAAAGTGATATCAAAGTGAATGGCTGACTAATTTTCATTACCCAAACTAGACATCAGCACTGATGATATTACCTAGTTTGGGTAATGAAATGTCTGTAAGAAAACAACCAAGCTCATAGAATACCCCTCGATTATGCCTGGAGTTGTCCTTGCTTTCCAGTAAAAGGTATTAGACTAGAGTTTTTCAAATTTGGCAACTGTGAGATGTGTGGACTTTAATTCCCAGAATTCCCAACCGGGATTCTAGAAGTTGAAATCCACATATCTTAGAGTTGTGAAATTTGAAAATCGCTGGTAAAGACTCCAGATGGTCCAGGCTCAGAAACTTTAAAATTTATCACCTCTCTTTTTGCTTGGTTACTTCAAGTGAACCTCTTGCACTGGATTAAGGCCCATGAAAAGCATCCTCTGTTTTCATGCTGAATCTAACCCTCTTCCCAACACTCTAAAGCTGAATGTTCCTAACGAAAAAAAAAATGTTGAAAGGGTAACTTTTTATTAATGCCTACTATAGCTCTCAAAAGGGAAGACAAGGAAGAATCACTTTTCAAATTTTCACTAGCCGCACTCTTGATATTACTTTGAATTTTTCATTTCTTCATCAACTCATTAGCGATTATCCTCTAATGCCTAACACATTTCAAAATGTAATTTTTGAATCTGTATAGAAGAAAAGATATATAAGAATGTACCACCATTTGAAAATGTTTTATTGTAACAGGCTAATATAAGTATTTTTACAACAGGTAATGGAACTAAACTGGAAATACAATTAAGACAAAGTTATTAGCTAAAACCAGATTTTTCTTAGTGCCATTTTCCAACTTGAAACACGGCATCTGCAAAGGAACTACTTGTTCTTATAATTTAAGAGCAGCTTAGCATGGAGGAATTGGTAGATTAATCTTTTCATGTGTTTCCTTACTTGATGTCCTTCAGTTGCACCATGACTCCATAATTGCAACTTATATATATATATCAATAGTACTAGGTTGAAAAAGGCTGCTATAGCAAACAACTACTAACACTATAGACTGGCATCAACTAATAAAAGTTGAAAATCCTAAAGCTAACCAGTATGTTTCCTTCCAAAGCTTAGGCTGGGCAATATGTTAAATTGTGCTAGGATTTTATGGTAGAGTCATAGATATCTATGACTCTACCATAAAATCTTAGCACAATCTGACTTCTCTAGCACAATCCTAGCACAATCTTACTAAGCACATCTGACTTCTCACAATATACATCACTTCTGAGCTCTGCCTACATTCACTATCTGACATGCAATTAGGGGACTGCAGTGATGATTTTCAATACAGGAATATCTTTCTAAACTTGCAACTTGGCATCAAGACAACAAATTGTAGCGGGACTTATTAGGTGAACATGAAACACCAATAATGCAAATAGGACTGTATAACTGCTGTATTCTAACTTTATCTGACCGATAAATTAGGATTAGCAGCAATATAGTTTAAAGTAATACAAAATAACATTTCTAGAAAGGCGGCACTTGAAAGCAATAGTTCAACTTAGATGGTGAAGATTTACTGTTCATTATATGAAGAACAATCTTCAGAGGCATCTTCTTGAGATGTTTGGCTGGGCTTACATATAACTGCAGAATCCTGGCTGTCTTCAGTGGAAACTAAAATATAGAAGCAAAAAATAGTCTACAATTTCTGCTTGGACAGAATTCTTCTGCTTTATTCAATTACTATTATTTAAATAGCAAAAGCAAAACATATTCTTATTCACAACACAATTCTGTTATTTACAGAGTGTCATTTGAAAAGCCATCTCTCCAATAAGTATTACAAAGATACTTATTACTTCACTTTGAATACATTTGTTTCTTATTTATTTAATATAATAATAGGCTAGGAAACAAATATAAATGTTCATAGTGATATATGCATTTTAAATAGGCAATTACTGAGAATATTAGTTTGAAAATAATTATTTGAGCTATTTGACTGACTGTAGCTGTACAACACAGAACCATTTTTCAAGTACAAGTAGTTCTCAACTTACGACCAGTCACTTAACAATTGTTACAAGTTTCAACAGTCCTATCTGGCGGTACTTACAACCTGGATTCAAAGTTTCGACCATTACCCTGCCACTCCTCATCATGTGACTGTACTTCAGATGCTCAGCAACAAAGCCACATTTATGGCCATTTGCAGTGTTCCATGGTCACATGACTGCATTTTATGATGGTTTTGATAAAAACTGGTACTCACTTCAAGTTTTTTGCAAAACTGGTCCATAGTGAACCATGGGTTCACTTAACAACTGCTGAGAAAATGGTCATAAAATCTGGTCGGTCATATGATCGACCCGTTTTATGACTGTTACAACATAGGACCATAATATGTGGCCTCCATTATGTTTGTAACTCAAGAACTACCTGAATCCTAATTATGAGAGTGGACAATATGATATAAATCCCTGGATGTAGAATATCTTGGAATATATTAGATCACATACTTGAGAAAAGTTTTTCCTGTTGAAAAAAAGCCACTATTTCCCTACTTATATATGCAGAAAGAATTTAAAAATGATTCTCAGTAAATTTAATATGGCTTTCCTGCAATAAATTATTTGGGGAAAACACTAAATTTTTTTGAAGTTTACACAGATATTCTTTCATTGTTCTTATATGGTTGAGGAAGACCAGCAGAGTTAAATTTTAAGTTAAATATTTTAAGATATTAATAATAAATATTTATTACCACCCAAAATCTCATGTTGTGATGTGATCATGATTTAATCCCAGATATACTTAAAATACAATTAAAGTGAACCTATGCTTGATTTATGTGCCCCTGTAGTTTGAACAAATAATGGAATCAGGAGTTCAGATGATGTTCTCAATGTTGGCTAATAATTAAAAATAGTTTTTTGGTTTACAAGATCATAAAAGCATTTGCTATTGGAATTATGCAGGCAGTACAGGAATGTACATAGAAAATAATTTAGGTAGACTGAATCTGCACAATATAAACATTATGAAATCTGTATGATCCTCTTGGTAAAATTTAGTTGCATTAGATTTATCTAAATCTAATATGTGTAACTAGCAAATCACTGTGGTCATTAAGCGATTCCACAGTTGTTAAGGAATTGCTGCAGTTGTAAGTGTGAATCCATTTTCTGAAAGGTGTCATGTGACCATGGGGCATCAGTCGTAAAGGCAAGGCAGTTGCCAAGCACCTGAAATCTGGTCAAGTGACTGAGGAGCAGGGATGGCATGACATTTTACAAAGGGAGAAATGTTTTATGGGCCATAAAGCACCTATTCTGGGCCCATTGTAGTTTTGAATGGTTGTTAAGCGACTGTTAAGTTGAAGAATGCCTGTAAGTACATTGCAAACATCAGTGTAACAGCTGCACAACCAAATATTCTGATTACTCACCAGATGTTTCCTTTGTAGCTTCAGTTACAAGGTTGAGCTGGAGAGGTGGTGGAAGGTAGTGAATCCCTGGCAGAAAGCCTCGGGGTATAAAGGGTGACAGTGGAGTATAGTATCCTGGCCGGAAATCCCCACCTGTGTCCTGTAGCTATATAAAAACAAAAGTGCATGAATGGCTGGTGAACTGAACTATGCAGATGGTAGCTACAAAGTCGTGAAATTTAGGCCATTATCCTATGATCGATCTATCTATCTATCTATCTATCTATCTATCTATCTATCTATCTATCTATCTATCATCTCTCTCTCTGTGTGAATGTATATACACACAGACACACACATATATGTTTTTGTAGATTTTCACAGGTAGAGGTATGGAAGTTTTGGTGTATTTGGGTATTTGGTGTATTACACAGGAAAAGACCCAAATACACCAAAACTTGCCCACACACACATATATATACATATATATAATCATCTATCTTTCTGATAAACTACACAATAACAATTAAAATAGCCACAATCAGATTAAACATTAAAATATTATACTGCATGTGTGTGTGTGTGTGTGTGTGTGTGTACCTCAGCCACAGTGGCATGACATGCCAAATCTCCTTTAGAAGTGCCTAGTTTTCAGATGCTTCCAGAAAGCAATTAAAATGGAAGTCAATCTGACAGAAACCTTTATTTATCATACATAATTTTATTAGACTTGTTTTTATAATTGGAAAGGAAATCAAGAACATTTTCAAGTTTTACATTTACTTCCTCCAACTCAATTCTTGGATAGGCACAGCTGGAAAAGACAGCAGCCATTTAAAAGAAATCCAAATCCCTATGCCAAATGGTAAATAAATGATATTAAGATCCAACAACAACAGTTTCATTAGCCGTGGCATTGGGTAGTTAACAATCCATATTTAAGAGAAATAACAGTTCAATACTGTGTTTTTCAAACAGAGAAGACTTAACAGTGTATGTTTGCCATTTTTTTATTTTCCTAAGTTGTTATTAGTCCATTCCTAATTTTCAAAAAAAATATAGTTATTTTTTAAAAAATATTTTTCTGACATACATAGGGGAGACAAAATGGTTTTGCCTTTATAGTTTGGGCTAGTAGTATGCTATGTCCTTGCTTGCATTTATGTAATTAAGTACCAGGAAGAAACATGGGTGTGGGGGGGATTCATTTAATAGAAACGTTGCAAATTCATTGTGTAAGAAGCACTGTTTCTGATTCAGACATGACAGAACCATCTCCTCTCACATTCTTTTCCCTATACTTTTAGATTAACTCCCCAATCATAGTTATCACTGGATGTATTAGCAGTTGCATCAGCTAGGGGGCTCTAAACCAGAGATTATAATGGAGTAAACCATCAACTGTGCATCCAAATCAATGTTCTATTGAAGGGTGTGGACATACCAATGTGTAGCCAATTTAAATGGACAATTCTAAAAGTAGAACATTGAGATTTTCTTGGAAATACTATTATCATTCATAACATTCAATAGAATTTAAATTTTTTTATTTTATTTTAATTTGATTTATATGCCGCCCTTCTCCGGAGACTCAGGGCGGCTTACAATGCGTTAAGCAATAGCCTTCATACTTTTGTATATTTATACAAAGTCAACTTATTGCCCCCACAAACTGGGTCCTCAATTTACCCACCTTAGAAAGGATGGAAGGCTGAGTCGACCTTGAGCCTGGTGAGAATTGAACTCGCAGTAATTGCAGGCAGCTGGATGTTAAATGCTGCCTTAGGAGGCATTAACCTCCTACGCCACTCAGGCTCCTTTATGAAATCAGTGTACAGCCCTAGCAGCTATTAATGATTCATCAATCTTGTCTGCTATCCAAACTTAGTGGGTTCCCAGTATGGCAGCATCAAGATATCAGCATCTTCAGGCATTTCCCTTGGCACTTCTATCATTCTTTAATTGAAAAAAAAATGGAATGTGAATGTGCTGAAAAGCATAGTGCCAGGCTCTATCATTCATTTTATTGCCAAAAACTGAGTTCAGGTGCAGTTTTTGAAATACATGCAGCCAGGTGCTGCTTTGTGTGAATATGTGACTATCCAATCAAAAAAAAAATGTCACCATGGGAGAGTAAATAGAAAGGAGTAGTAATCTTACTGGTTTGGTTTCTGGTGTTTTGTGACTGACTATGCCTCACATGATAACCATTTTACCACAGTACACTCAAGATACTCAAAATTCGAACTATGCCATTGATTCACAATTATTACACCAATGGCTAGCTACAAAAGACATCTGAGGGTGTTGTGCTTATGTGAGCTGTATTAAACCATGTATGGAGAAAACTATACTTACTGGTATAGAAGCAGGAACACTACTTGGTCCATGATTGCTGGAAAAGTGTCTGAAACTTGTTTGTAGAGGCAAAACAGGTGCAGGAGATGGACCTCTGTAAGATGGTTGATTGATAGTGAATCCCATTGAAAATGGATAAGGATACATCCCAGAGTAACCAGGATACATTTTGGGGGGGTCCCTCTCCCCAAATTCTGGACACACAGCAATACATTCTTGAGGCAAATTGGGATGGTCTATTAAAAAAAAAGTTAGATTAAATGGATGGTGGCTGGATTAAATGGGTTACCAGTATTTATTTGTTTGTTTATATCCTGCCTTTATCGTTTTTACAAATATCTCAAGGGGGGAATATATCCAACATACCTTTCTCTTCTTATTTTTCCCAGTGAGGTGTGTTGGGAGTGAGTAAATGGCCTAAAATTACCCAGGAGGCTTTCATGGCCAAGTCAGGATTTGAACTCATGGCCTCTTGCGCTCTAGCTTGGTGTCTTAATGACTAGACCAAACTGGCTGGTATCAGCAACATATAAAGGTCTGTATGGTATTTTAACATCCTGAAAGTGTTGCATTTTGGCTAATTAAATTTTCAAGAAGATACTCTTTAGGTGTCCTATCCAGGTACATATCCTTGAGAACATTGAAGAATGAGTGGACAGCTTAAATGCAGGAAGTGTTTTTTAAATTAATAATTGTTCCACTGAGAGGTGTAAAGGCCCTACACTCAAGACACCTTAAATGGCCAAGATCCTACTAATGCAGAGTTGTTACTCATGATTTGTATCAATTGGAAGAATGAATAGAGACCTTTGTTAGTCACAGAGAAGCAGAGGCGAGAAACATATATTACGCAATATTCAAACTAAATCAAATATTTATGAATAGGAGATATATTAACATAAAACGTGATACTGTAATTTACTGTTTTATATAGTTTGGACTAATTCAATTAATTGTTTCTTCCTTTTTAATCAAAACTTTATTAAATTTCATAAAAATGTGAAATACCAAAACAAAGAAAAGGAGTTAATAAAAGGGAAAAGGGTAACAAAAAAATAATAATCAAAATTAGGAAGTGCAAGCAACAATAACAACAAAAAAGCTATATAAACAAGGAACTTCGATACAGATAACTCAGTGACCTTTTGAATTAGAATGAACCATAATAAACAAATTCATTTTTTCTCTTAAGTAGAAAACTTAATGTTATCAGATCAAGCAACAAAAATAAATCGCAAGGTATCTTAATAGTATTTAATGTTATATCAAGCCAGTAGATGGCAATCCATATTCATAAATAGAACACAACATGGATCCCAATTAAAACAGTAAGAGAGCAGAATGGAGGATAAGCTATTTTTAATGTAACAAAAATTCTGAATAATTGTGAAATGTATAACACCTTGAAATGTTTCAGGTTTACTTTTGATAAACAATTTTGAACCTGTTGATTTAATGAACAATGTTCATTATCACCTTGGTAAATATAATATTACAGGAGAATATTTGTAGCCCTGGTTTAAATGAAGGGTCCTTGGTGCTCTCTGAGGCTGGTTATTTTCTTGCAGATGTTTCATTACCCAAATAAACTAACATCATCAACACAAGAAAATATCTGCAAGAAAACAACCTAGCTCGCAGAGGACTCCACAAATATATTTTCTACACTTTCCCTGTATTTAAGATATTGATTAACACCACTTTATTTAAAAATAACTAACCAATGCAATTTGAATTTTGCAGAGAAATTCAAATTAAGGTACTTTCCTTAAATACACTGCATCTCTAAATATTCTTCAAAATACAGCTTGTACAATATCAATTTAATGCAAAAATAAATTGTTACAAAAGATGGCAGCAGTCACAGGTTTGTCCTCTTTTGTTCATACAAAAATCAATTGAGCATATTATTTTCATTAACACTGAAATATTCCCTTTGCTGAAAGGAATGTGGTAAAAATATAGTACACATCATATTAATTCTAGACTCTTTGTTTTTATATTTGTTTGATTGGCAGGTCAGTGTTTTGTTGGGCCTGCTGCAACTCATTTGACTCCTACAGTACAGATTCTGGCTGTGTAAATTTAGTTTTGCAACAATGAAGCATGGTGGAGCAGCTTTCAAGCAGGATATGGAAGCTGCAGTAAATAAATAAACAGCTAAGCAATATCACCCTTGGACTGGGGAAAGAAAAACAATAATCCAAATTATCACCAGTAATAAATTGGCATAGCAGGATACATACATCACTGATGCTCAGAACAAATAGAAAGTTAAATTCATAAACAGAAAAGACAGCTAATCACCAATGTTTGAATAATTGTGGCTAGTACACATACCTAAATCTATGAAGGTCGGAGAGCTCGGTTTAGGTGGTGTTGGATTATTCGCTGTTCTGGTACTGGAGCTAACTGCTGAAGTCACTTTAATTCCCTCATGCACAACTGACCCATGAGTGGAAGACTCTGAGGAATTCATTTTTAGGCCCTTCTTACTGCTAGCAATGGCTGCCCCTTCTTCACTGGGCCTACCCTGAGTGGGAGGCAAGGTCTCTCTAAGTGGTGAATCTGGTCCTTGTCTTTTTAAGGCCTTCTGCGCAGCCATGATCTTCTGGCGTTCAGTGATAAGAGAACATTTCTCACATGGGCACTGTTTCCACCTGCAGTGACCAGCATGACCCTTGACTGGTACCACAAAACCATGATTCCGGCAACGTGAACATTTCGGAGCCCGAAGAGATTGAGTCCCATCTTGATTCTCCATGGCTAACAGCTCTCTCTCTAATCTAGATCCACACCGGTTCTAAAATGGTATGCACTGAAATCTGCTCTCCTTGCTTGCAAAAATGGTTACAATCTAGCAATTAAGCCTGGGCCCTAGCCTAGGAAAGAAGAATTCTGCTTTGTGAAGAAGGAGGAACATTTGGTGCTGGGTCTCAGATCACAAAATGTAGTATTTTGTGGTAAGCGACAAAATAGTCCAATTCCTTTCTTCTTTTTTTATTTCTGAAGACTATTTCGAAACAAACCTTTTCTGGAAAACTTTGTTTTACTGGAAACTCAACATGATGAAAAGAGCTTCCATCCCTGCAAAACCTACAGAACTTGTCTCTTTGCCAAGAAGGTGGAGTTTTTGTTTTTTAGGGCCACAGATAATTTTTGTGAGCAGAAAGCAAGACATTCTATCCTCTGGTGGCTCTGCAAGAAAGATTTAAGAGGCCAGATGCAAACTGTACAGTTCTGTGCTTCAGTGGAGAATCTGTGGTGTGCAATATTAATTGAGATGGCATGATGAAAAGAGGAGAACATTTTATACAAGATACAAGTCAAGTAATTGATTTTGATACCTGTGCTACCTTAGAATTATCCTGCTCATTTGTTTCAATTCTGAACTTCAGACAGTAATTGGTTAAGATGTGCATGAGTTCATATCTTGTGACATGCAGGGGAAACAACTGTCTTTTTCCTTTATTAAACAGTGATTGTATCATAAACTCCAAATCTCTTTCCTTTGGGATTTCTGATATCCACACAAGTTGTGAGGACATTGTATGTATCTGTTTCTCAGTACAAATTAACTATTTATAGATTTATTTCTCTGAACCTGAGAGGCAGTCCATAAGTTGGTTTCAAGATGCAATAAACTGTCCTATTGCCTAGAGGGTTGAGTGGTATCATTACTACGACATGAATTTTTATTTTTATCAATTTGCAAAATGAAAACTGTCCTATGGTTCCCAAGTTATATCTTATTCCAATACAGTAAACAAAGAGCAAACATAATTTATAAATAATTCTGTATGCTTAATTATGTTGCAAGAAAAGAAGATTATTAAATTGTTTCCTTGTACAGTGACTTTTTAATGTTGGATTTTTATGACTGTGCCACTTACTTACAAATCTGTTTATGATATGAATAATGAATTCCACAGTAACTCATACTGGATTTTTAAAAAATAACTCTGTCCAAATAAAGAAGCAATAATAAGTAAAAAAAAATTATGCTGTACATTGATGATAAATCTGCATTTGCAGAATTTTACAAAGTTTAATTTTCATTGGAAATGCTTTTCTGCTTTTTAATTAGCTGGACTGGGACTATGGAAGTCCTAAGGCACTTCCATATTAACAACTTCCTGAAAGTTCTAAAGGACTCTTTCCCTTTTTTTCCAGGAGCATATTATTTGACTTTCTGTATTTAAATCAACATTTACGTACTGGTTTCCTAATAATTTAAATATTTCCAGTTATCATTGTAAATTGTGTTTTTTCCTTCTCCTGTTTTGCATTTTAGAGTAATGTATTAAAGTATAAATATTTAATGGCTGTAGGCTGCTTATATGGAAGATAAGAAAAATACAATACCTTAAACAAACAAAACTTCTTGTGCAAAAGAAAATGTTTTTTTGAATTTGTACTTTAGTCACTCTTAATATTTTCTCTTTGATTCAAACTTCACAAGGGTTTTTATCTAATAGTAATAGATAGGAATTTTGGATCCAGCTTTTGCTTCAATGTCAACTATCCCTGTAGTTTTTTCCCCCCTGCTTTTAAAACATACTATATCTTACTCTGCACAGAATTCAAAATCTTATTGAAGAACGTAAGTAGTCATGTCTTCTGTGCACTCAAGCAGCCTTTCAAAAGCCAACCCTAGTTGTGCACCCACATATCTGTATGCATGTCTTAGAAATTTCTTTCCTCAAATGTTTTGCAGTTAACCCTGCTGTCTAATAACACGTTTTGATAATTAGACATTCTTTTTACTGTTGTTTTTATGTTTTGTGAACTGATTTCTAAAAGGGATACGAATAAGGGTATACTATTTTTGTATATATAAATAAATAATATGCCTTCCAGCCCATGGGCAAGCTCAGACCTACCCACATGCTAGAGAATTAAACCGCTCATAAAATAGAATTACCCAATTACTTTTAAATGCATGGAATGGAATGTAATATTTATTATATACAGTACAAAATACCCAAACACAGACATAATCAAAAGATTTAGCATAAAATAAACTAGTATTGCAAATAAAAAAGTTCATGATACAACACAAAACTTTTACAAATTTAAAACTTAATGTATTAGTAAAGACATTATTTTTTTTTATAGCCATAGTTAAAATTTGACTACCTCTATCCAGTCACACCAACTCTACTCCAAATTAAGGGATTACAGGCTCATAAAAAAGGAGAGCTAAAATTTGGCTATCACCAGTGTAATTCTAGGATTTTTATTGAAAATAAAATTTTAATGTCAGAATTTAACTTTAAGAAGTACCTCTACTTGACCTCAGTTTTTAAATAGGCCATATTATACCCAGCTGAAAACTCTTCTAATATTCACAATGGAGTAGAATGTGAGTCACAATTTCAAAATTACAGGGGAAACATCTTCGAGAGGTAGGAATCTTTTGAAATCTATCATAGAGCATATTTGACGGCAAAGGTTTTAATCTGATTTAGAGAAAGCTTTTCTATATTTCCTTACATGTAAATTGCTATAGCATATAGGGAACTGAAAGATGTAATTGTATTTATTTGTACTGTATTGTATGTGATTGTATGTGATTTTCTAAGTTGGGGTAAAATATGGAATTTCACATTTTGCCATTAATTCTTGTACTGAATTGTCTCATCAACTATAATACATTAAAACCCTGGTATCTAAATGCCTAGAAAGCAAACAGACCAATCTTTCTTTTACATAGAGTATAATCCTCAGGGCACGTACAGGTTTCACACATGTATAATGAAGGACATTTATTCATTTAATATTATAATTTAAATGGCAGAATAAAAGATATTATTTTCAAGATGAACTCAAGTCCTGGTGATTTTTTTTTAAATGCAGTTTTCTTAGAAAAAAGTATATCATGTTCGCTACTGCCACCTTATATAATTGTTGCTATTTTTCTATCTGTCCTGTAGCCCTGGACTTTCTAAATGCTTCCTTATCTAATTACTACTCTTTAGTTTTCTAGAATTCATCTAAAGTTGGCAAGTTGATGTAGAAAGCAGCTTGGTCCAGTTCTAGACCAGCCAAGCATTCCAAGATGGCTCATCCGTTTCCAGAATGGAATGTTCTAAATCGGGAAGCATTTTGCAATATTCCTGTTCTGTTTCCGGGCCAGACTTTGCCCTTGACAACATTAAACCCAGTTCCATAATCTTCCCATTTGAAATAGTTGAACCATCTTCCAAATGTTCCCATTGATTTAGTTCATAGGAAAAATTGAAGTTTCAAGTAACATATGTGTTCTGGGAATTGGCCATGTGGTTTTGCACACAGCTATTTAAGAAAACGAAGGCAACCATTTAAGTCATTTCTTTCCACATACAACTATTTTGAACTTTATTTTCCCTCTAGTTCTTTTGTATCCTCTATCTTGATGCTTTCCCTTCTTTCTCCAGCAGATTTGCTTCTGTTATATTAACAAGTTATAGTAGTTAGGGGTGCTTTCAGGTGACTTTTCATTAATCCTATCACATAAATTTGTTGAGGTTGCACCATTCCTGTTATCTATAAGTAGAAAGTCAGACGCTTTGGCCAAAAAGCAAATGGCAAAAATACTATCTGCAAATATGTGCTGCTCCTAAAACTGAGGAAGAAGGAATAAACCAACATCTGTCCCAGAGGTTCTATCCCAAACAGAACTGTCATGTAAATATGGAGCCAGTGCCTCGGATACTCAAAAACTAGAAAAGAAGAGTTAAAAGACTGTTAGCTTGAAGAGTGGGGGGGGGGGAGGCTTAGGTTTTACACCCTGAGGCTGACATGTATAAAAGATTTGATTCTTGTGTTCTGCACTACTCAGATCTTCTGCACATCTATTACTTTTTTCTTGGCTCCACCATCTAGCTCTGTTGGGTCTGTGAAGTATCTGCTGTTACCTAGTTACCATACTCCCTGAAAGGGAGACTGAGTTCTTAGAGAACTGAGATTTATTGCTTGTGTCTCCTGTGAAGTCTGACAGGATGTGACTCTATTAGTTTTCTTTGTGTGTGATTAGCTTCATTAATCACTCTGCTTTATTGAACAAATTATTATTATAAGCCAGGCTGCGTTGTTTTCCATTTTGTACTATCCTGTATTTTATCTTCAGATTTCCATCTTTTTTTCGGACTAGAAAAAAAAGTAAAAAGATTAAGATGGAAGTAGCTTTATTTATTTTGTTTGTACCATACATCTATCAGGATGATATTTACATAAACTGATAGACACATACCACTTGATACTGCATAGCTATGTAATAATTAGTCTATCTGTTGCATATTAAGGTAATCAGATCTTTAATATTGCATGAAATATTCCTTATAATTGAGGAATGTTGAGGAACATGGAAGTTTATTTCCCATGTTCCACCTCTGTGTTAGTAATAACATATTATTATTGATGATTTAAATATGGAACACAAATACACATGCTATCGTAGGTAGAAAGTCAGGCTCTATGACCAAAAAGCAAATGGCAAAAATAGTGTCTTCAAATAAGTGCTGCTCCTAAAACTGAAAGCAGTAGGAATAAATAAACATTCTGTCCCAAAGGTTCTGTCCCAGAAAAAACTCATGGAAATATGGAACCAGTGCCTCTGATACACAAAAACTAGAAGGCTTTGCTTAAAAGTTAGGAGAAAAAGGCTAAAGATTTTGGATTCTCATTAAAGGTTATTACTGATTTAGAACGTGGCACCTTTGAGTTTTTTCTCTGAGGCCATGCAATTCCTGCCCATATATTTTGTGCATTTAATAGCCTCCCCCACTCTCTGAACCTTTTTATTCTTTAATCAAATTTTGTTCACTGAGGTTCCTCTGTTTCCAGCTAACTATTCTAAACCACAGAGAGAGTGACTAGAGTGTCCACTTACAGTCCTATTCCTTCTGCCGCTTCTAGGCTACATCTCTATAGCCAGAAGAACCCTGAACTCTCTGGCAGTTGGAAAGAGGCAATAGCTTCAGCTATTAGCAGGCCTTTCCTTGTGCACGGAGTATGCCTGGCCCATCCACAGACCAGAGGAAAGGCAAGTCTTGGAAGGAAGGAGCCAGGGATATCATGGCTCCCTTCTCTCAGCACATATCCTGGTTCTGGAAAGCAGATGAGACTTCTTCCAGGAGCCTTAAGAAAAGTGGCCCTGAGTGCAGGATCCTCAACAGTGAAGACAAAATGGAAGGGGAGGCCCTTGAAGGCAGCAAGAGTCCCCACCCCAAACCCTGGTCTCAGCTGCTGGCAGGGCTGTGCCCCACAACCTGGATCCTAGAAGGAAGCAGCAGGGGCAGCAACAGGCCCTCCTTTTACTCTGGGCTGTCAAGTAGCTGCAGGGAAATGAACCTGGAGCCCTCCAAAGATGGCAGCCCAGCCCTTCCACCCAGGGATCTGCTCAGCCTGTCAGCAGCTTCAGTAACCAAAAAAGACAGTCCCGCAGGACAGGTGGTGGAGGAGGAGTACTCCTGCGAGTATGGCTCATTTACCTATCTGCTGATGTGCTCCTTAGGTGGGGTGGTGAGTTGTGGTGCAACGCACACAGCTGTTGTGCCACTGGATGTGGTGAAGTGCCGCATGCAGGTGGAACCCAGGCGTTACCAAGGGCTTATGCAAGGCCTTTCTCTTACGGTGCGAGAGGAGGGGATTCCTGGCCTGGCTAAAGGATGGGCTCCAACAGCCATAGGTTATTCCATGCAGGGCTTTGGCAAGTTTGGTCTCTATGAATTCTTCAAGTTACAGTACTCTGACTTTTTGGGTCCAGAGCAATCTTATCTGTGGCGGACTAGCCTCTACCTCGCTGCTTCAGCCAGTGCCGAATTCTTTGCTGACATTGCTTTGGCCCCGATGGAAGCAGTCAAGGTACGGATTCAGACCCAGCGCGGTTATGCCAAAACACTGCGAGAAGCAGCTCCCAAGATGTATATTGAAGAAGGACTCTGGGCTTTCTATAAGGGAGTATATCCCCTCTGGCTGCGACAGATCCCTTACACCATGATGAAGTTTTCCTGCTTTGAACGAACTATAGAAGCACTCTATAAATACGTCATTCCTAAGCCACGAGATCAGTGCAGCAAGATGGAACAACTTGGAGTCACATTTGTTGGCGGATATATTGCTGGCATCTTCTGTGCTATAGTCTCACATCCGGCTGATTCTGTGGTATCAGTGCTGAACCAAGAAAGGGGCACCACTGTTTTGGGTGTTCTCAAGAAGTTGGGCATGCATGGGATCTGGAAAGGCCTCTTCACCCGTATTCTGATGATTGGTACCCTCACTGGACTGCAGTGGTTCATCTATGATTCAGTTAAAGTTTATCTCAAGTTGCCTCGTCCCCCCCCACCTGAAATGCCCGAATCTTTGAAAAAGAAACTCTCTCAAAATTAAATCCATACTGAGTGGCTGTGTTTCAAGGATACTCCAATTCTATAAGAATGTTTAATTCACCTGATTTGTGAATATCACTGAGCCAGGGAAATTTGCTATAGTGTTACTCAATCCCAGAACTAAGCTTTAGAGAGTTTCAGCAATCTATAAAAGAAGTTTCTTAATGAAACTTTAATGCATGTCATTTAATAAAATAACATTGTCTTGCAGTTTTATTTTGTTCTTAACTGCACTCAAAATACATAGCAGATAATGCAATTACTAGTTTTTATAGGCTGTTAAATATTTTAAGGTTAACCAGTTAATAGCAACTGCTAGACAAGTTGGTTGTTCTAATACTGTTGTAATGATATGATAATTATTGTCAGTAGGACCTGTTGTCAAGCAGCCTAGACAGTACTGTGATTCTAAGATACTGAACAAAATTTTTGGTGTTCATTTGCTAAATCTGATTCTACATTTGAAGTAAGATAAAAGTATACACTCTGAAAAATGGCATTCTTAGAAGCAGTGTATTAGAAAACTTATTTTATTTTTAAGTGTCATGGATCTGTAATGATCCAAAGTGCCTGTTTATATATGGAAAAATATGTATTTTTGTGGCAGGACATTTTTTTATAGATTTTGGTCTAACTACAAAAGTTTCTATTAGTAGCTTGAATCTTTAAAAAAGCATTCTTTTTGTCCACATAGAATCTACTGTGCTGGAAAAGGGGAAAAAAGTAATTTTGTATTGTGATTTCCATGTTTATTGGACAAGTCTTTTGGAACTTGCATGAATGTTGTTCCTCTCTGTTCTTAAAGCAGTCCATCAGACTTATATAGGTGCACTTCTTCCAAATTATTTTTGAAACATGCACATGTTTTATATATATTGAATAATTCTTTCTCTGTATAAAAATGCTGTAGCCTCTGATTTGAGCCAAATCTATTTTTTTCTTGATTGAGCATTCTTCAAGTTACTGGAATTATAGAAATAAAAACAATACACCATAATATTCTTCGAACTCAGCTAAAATTCTGCATTTTGATGATCCTTTACCAGTATGTTATTCCTTCTTTTGTTGTACAATTTAATTTGAACATTTATTGTTACTACAGCAAAATAAAGTTATTGTGGTTATTATAGAAATATAAATCCCGTATTGGACAATGCTTTTTAAAACGTATTAGCTACTATATATTTTATACAAAAAAGCAATCTTTTTCATTTCAAATGAATGGTCTTGCCATTTAGTGTTATTGCACTTACTGTATAAGTGATATCCAAGTGTCTTTTATACCTTTAAAGATGTAACCTAATTCTTAAAATTATATTCAATTAGTTTATTATTTTCTGCTGTCTCCACAAGACCTAAGTATTCTTTCTAGAGCCTAGTATAAATGTTTAAGGTTCAATGATCAGGAATAATTGCTATTATAATCCGAACTTCTAGAAGGCAGCACAACCATTGATCTACTCAGCAAAGCAAAATGTAGTACATGTTGAAAATTTAAAAGAAAGAAGATTTTGAATCAATTGATCAGTGACAAATTCTGTTTCAACACTTTGCTTTCACTCATTATTTGGATCTATTTCCCGATTTTGGTTTCAGATAAGACTTCTTTAACAGCACCAATCCTCTGCAGAGCTAGTTAGATCTCATTATTTGGATATGCTTTGATTTGATATTAGGTAAGAGAGCTCCAGCTATGTCAAATATAACTTCATACCTAGTTACTCATGTCTCATTTCAATTCCTTTGTAGCTTGAGAGACAGAATGATATTGCAGGGGTGGGGGTGGGAATGGAAGGAGAGGACTTGTCCAGAGAGCTGTGAACTAAATAGTGTAATAAACATGTCCTTGTTGGTGATTCTGAAATGTTGGCAACTGTGGAAAGTTGTGATGATCCATAGAAACAGAAATAGAAAATCCATAGTATGAAAAGTACATTATGCTCCAGTTCTATAAAAAGTACTGCAGTAGGCTATCTACTATGTAGGCATCCATGAACCATTTGTAGGTCTTTTTTTTTTTAAAAAAAAGTTTATTGTGTAATTGTTATGTAAATTTGGTAATGTAATACTGTTGCTGTGATCAACAGCAATATTGCCTAATTTTCGTCAAGGATCAGATCAAATCCATCAGATCATATCACACAAGATGGTTTAAATTAACATAAAATAACCTCAAACCTAAAATTATAAAATAAATCAGGTGTGAAGATTCTTTTGTAAGTAGGATTTTTTAAACTGTTAGGTTCAGAGAACAATTGATTCTAACATAACAGTTGTGACACACAGTGATCCATGTCACTTGCTGTTTTGCACCCTCATACTAAGCTTGGTTTCTAGGGGTTGGCCTCAAGGAATTAATAGGAACTTCTCAATATCAGAAGAGCAAATCCAAGGGGATTTATTTAACTGATAGTTAAATAATCATGGATTCAGATCCCTCTCCTATGTTCAAAAGTCTAGCTTTGAGTTGCAAAAATTGCATTGTGGATACAATGAGAAACTTGAAGACCACTTTGAGATTTTGATTAGCTGAAGTTAAGTTCCTTATAAGATTTTGTGCTAGAGCAAATTAAAATTAAAGCTTTAATGCCAGTAGAATAAAAGAGACAACTTTGGTGCACTGCAGTTATGAACTTTTTAAATTCAACAATGTTCAAATTTCTTATTGTAGTTAAAGATAAATAGTGTAATGCTTAATTTTTTAATAAGCAAAATAGTGCAGGCTGAAGAACTATTTACTGTGTCAAGAGGAAATCCACTGTGGTGTTTATAATTCTAAAAATGAGGGGTTTTTTTTCTATTCTTAATGGACTTTAACAGTTAATCATGATCTGTAATATATCTTATCTATAAAGGAAGAGCTCACTTAGGGATATATTGGAGGTACCATAGATTAGAGAAAGAGCTTCTTTAAAGCAATTAATTCTTTGGTTAGGCTATTTGTCTATCAACTGCAGTAAGGCCAATCTTCATCTTTTGCTTGCAATATCTTAATTGTGTAAAAATTATTCTATTTCAAATTGAGATGTATTTTTAATTGGATTTGAAAAACCGTCTTATTTAGCAAACCATCTTATCTAGCAAACCACCTGATACCCATCATTTATTTTAAAAAAATAGAAAAGTAGATAGTAAGGAGATCAACCTTGGGGCATATTCAATTCTGAAGCATTACTAGTCATATGAAGATTCCACATATTTTCCATATACATAATCCTAATTTATGTTGTAATGTTTTATATCTCTAAACAGATCAGATTACCAATACAACACCTTCAGAAAAACCTTTATAACATTTGCTAATAGAAGATTATTGATAATTTAATAATAGCGAGAGCAGAGTTTCCACACATTCTGCAATTTTATGGAACATACTTATAAAAGTGGATACATTTTAGTTGCTTTCCGCCAAATTCATGCAATAAATAAATCTTACCCATTTGTTTAATGGGATCCAATAATATTATTTTAAAATTAGTTGTCTATATTTTTGTATTTTTGCAACCCAAATGTGGTGGGCCAATTTTTATAAGCACCCTTGAAGATTTTAATGGGAAAAGATCTCCCTCTCCCTCTCCCTCTATCTCCCTCCCTCCCTCCCTTTCTGTGTGTCTGTGTGTCTATGTGTCTGTGTTTGTTCATACATAAAATGTGTGTATATTTTACCCTTGAAGTATTCTTTATTGATTGAAAAGTGACTGAAGTGATCTGTATAATCCCCAGGATTTGAAACTATTTTTACAAGCATAATACTTTATATCAGCAGATAGAACATTAAGATAAATAGTATTAATTGTATTGCACAATAACCAAGTAAATAAGCAAAATGGATCATTTGGTACCTGTTGAGGAAAAATAATTAAAATTTGAAGTAGATTTACAATCCAATTATATATGTGTGATATATGTAAGTATACTTGGATAGCAATCCTAACATACTCTTGGGAAATGTGTCATTTTATCTCAAAGGGTTTTTCATTAAGATGACATAGTGCATTGGATTGAATCCAAACACTTCAACTTAATAAGCTTGGAGATCATGCTTATCATATGTTTCTTAAACAGCATATGTATATCTGTCCATTCTATACTACATTCACTGGAAGTACAATAAACACTTCAGAAATTTACATTCTCAGTTGATCCAGGTTCATTTTTATAACATTTCAAAAATATTTTTAAAAGGGAAAAATAAGACCCTACCAAAATTGTAACCAGCAGAATCCTGGCTAGTACCTCTAAAATAATTCTTGTGATCACAACTGATTTTTTTCTTTTTCTCTTGAATTAACTCAGTCTACCAAGCCGCCCATGTGATTTTGGTTAGTCATTCTCTCACATAGAACAATTACCTTAATAGAACAAGAAGATAAGTGAGATAAAATACAGTTCTGATAGATGTTTTTGAGAGTATGGAAAACAGTATTATGCCTATACATTCAGAGTTTCTTGAACATGATTTAGCAGGCATGAACAGCTGCAATTTTCTGTTCTGTGGAAGAACATTTGTCATCCCTTGAGATCTGGGATTAGTTGGAATTAGTTGGAAGGTTGTATTGCTATTGTTCATGAAATGGAAACTTGCCATGAGTATCTGTCAGTGTACTTTAAACAATACAGGTAGCACTCATTTAGCAACCACAGTTGGGACTGATCATTTACTAAGTGAAGCAGTTGCTAAGTGAAATATGACTGTGCTTATGATCTTACTTCAGCTTTCCTTTGCTCTACAGAATTGCAAAAAGTAAATAGCAATAGCACTTAAACTTATATACCACTTCACAGTGCTTTTACAGCCCTCTCTAAGCGGTTTACAGAGTCAGCATATTGCTCCCAACAAACTGGGTCCTCATTTTACAGACCTCAGAAGGATGGAAGGCTGAGTCAACCTTGAGCCTGAGGAGATTCGATCTGCCAAATTGCAGGCAGCCGGCAGTCAGCAGAAGTAGCCTGCAGTACTGCATTCTAACTACTGTGCCACCGTGGCTCGTGGTGCTTGGATTAGTCATAAATGGTTGGATTAGTCATAAAATTACTTTTTCATGACTGTCATAACTGCTAATGATCGCTAAACAAGGCAGTCACTAAAAAAGAACTACTTGTATGCCATGATTGAACTTTTTACTGCTGAAATAGTCCTTCCAACTGAAATTTACTATTAAATGTAGATAGTTTATGGTATTGATTATGTCAGTATGAGTAATGTGCATTAATTAGGCCAAAAATATAAAAATGGTGAACTGAGAAAAACTGAGCTGCATGACCAAGAACAAAGTGGACAAACTTGGCAACAAGAAACAAATTTCACATAAGATTGATGGACTGATTAAGGACATTTGACAGATTATTCAAAGGGAAGTTGCTATCAAGCATGGTATGTCACAGAAGATGTAGGGCACAATTTTGTTTTTTCAGTGTTGGATATTTTGTGCAATATTGGTTCCTCACATGTTGACAGTAGAGATAAAAGTTTCTAGAGTTGAAATTTGTCAATAAATATTGTCATGCTAATAAAATGCAAGTGAAGAATTTCCTCACAACATTGTGAGAACTGATAAAGCATGGGGGTCATCATTATGATCTCAAAACAAAATATCAAATAAAAAATAAACAAAACTTCCAGGCTTTTGGAAGGAAAATCCATAATTTGGGGAGGGGGAACACAGGTGCACATATCATGGAGGGGGACACAGATTTAAATGGATGTTCTTGAACCTAGTACCACCATCAACTCTGTTATTTTGCAACACTCAAAACTGTGAATCATTTAAATAGATTTAGAAGCACAAGAAGGAAATTTTGCTGCCATGTGACAACTTAGCCTTCACACCTCACCGGCCATTCAAAAGGCAATTGCAAAGTTGGATCCCACTATTTGACAGAAATGAAGAGATGGACAAGACTGCCAAGATCTGGTCAAAGAGACAAAATATGGAGTTGTTTCATGACAGTTTTAAAAAGCTTGCCTATCATTGGCAGAAGTGTATAGTGAATGACAGTGATTAAATCATTATGTGGAAAAGTAAATACTGGTATTAAAAGAGTTCATTTCAAGCATTATTTGTTATTAAAGTTATGGAGGTGGCGGCATTGCTTTTTATGCAAATCTTATAGAAAAACTCTCCTGAGATATTTCCCC